TCTATCATGCTTGATCAAGAGTCAAGGGATGCATGCTTAATGCTATGCAACCTAAGCATGCAAGCAAGCATACAAGCAACTCAAGCATGATGCAAATCCAATGCAACATAAGCATGTTAATGATGATGCCATACAGGACTAATGGTGACAAGCATGCCAAATGTAATGTAACCTAAAAAAGTATGCAAGATGCAACATGAACATTCAAGCATGCAAGGCATGCAAAGGTGTACAAGTATGCAATAACATACAAAATGAGACAAGCATGTGACAACATGATAAAGGAATAAGCATGCAACAACCATGAGATACTCAAAGCACCCATATTTGACACACTTAAAAAATACCTTACACATTGAACCAATTCCAAAAACAAAAATAACAACACTCATTGGCAGTAAAACACCCAAATAAAAAAATTTAAAACCAAACACCATCAACAAACATTACACTAAAGGGAAACAAAAAACCACAACATCGCATACATGAATGTTACTAGAACAAACAATCCGTAAGGTTAGCCGAAAAACGCAGAAACCATGTACCGAAACACACCTATTTTCGGTGGTTATTTGGCAAAAACAGAGAAATAAAATCAAGCCGTAACATGCACGACATACACAACACTCCCACACTTCACCCACTTTCAAAAAATACCTTACTCATTAATCTACACAACAACACCCACTGACATTGAAAACAACCAATATAAAAATATTTACAACTACATAACATCAACAAACATTGTGCTGAGGGTATATCAAACAGCCACAAAAAAGCATACGTGATGTTACCAGATCCCAGACTGAGACGTTCTGTTCAGTCGAAAAAGGCAGAAAACAGGGAGACAAAACTATGTGACAAAACCGTTTGATGCACCAAACTCTGAACCAATGGAACAAAACAATGAACATCCACCACTCCACTAACCCCGTTTTTCTAAACCCTTGCATACATTAACATTACCAATCCCCCAAAACAATAAACCGACCACCCACCAATTTAGGAAACAAACATCCGACAAAAAGGGTACAATTGTAACCTGCAAAATAATCAAAATTAAGTAAACAACATTACCAAAATAAAATGGGACTAAATGGTGCATAAGAAAACTTTTAGGACTAAGTGGTTCAACTTTTCAGAAAATAAGATTTATGGGTAAATTTTTCATAATTTTTTTAGTTTATAAATGGTTGTTTCAATTTATAAATTTGAGATAAAAACGTAAACTCAAAAAATGAGTTTACGTTGATTTTTAAATAAAAATTTAAAATTTTGAATAACAAATTTTTTTTCAATAATTTTTTTCCCAAATATTTTTTTTTCAATTATTTTTTTCCCAATTAATTTTTTTAATTATTATTTTTTCAATTATAAT